ACAGGGCATAGGGTTACAGCCTGTGTTGGATGGGGCCGCACTCCCCCTGAAGATGCAGGTTCGCAGCTTGGGTGTGACCCTGGACTCATCGCTGAGCCTGGAACCCCAGGTTTCGGCGGTGACCAGGGGAGCATTTGCACAGCTAAAGCTTGTGCGCCAGCTGCGCCCGTACCTTGGGAAGTCTGACTTGGCCACGGTAGTCCACGCTCTGGTTACATCCCGTTTAGACTACTGCAACGCTCTACGTGGGGTTGCCTTTGAAGACGGCTCGGAAGCTCCAACTAGTCCAACGCTCGGCAGCCATGATTCTAACAGGAGCGGAGCGCAGGGAGCATACAAACCCCCTGCTGCGCCAACTCCACTGGCTACTGATTTGCTACTGGGCTCAATTCAAAGTGCTGACATTGGCCTTTAAAACCCTAAACGGTTCCGGCCCAAGCTACCTATCTGACCGCATCTCTGCCTATGAACCCACCAGGAGTTTGAGATCTTCAGGGGAGACCCTGCTCTCGATCCCGCCTGCTTCTCAAGCTCGGCTGGCGGGGACGAGAGATAGGGCCTTCTCGGTGGTGGCTCCTCGGCTGTGGAACGCCCTTCATACGGACATTAGACTAGCACCATCTCTAATGGTATTCCGCAAAAAGGTGAAGACCTGGATGTTTGTGCAGGCGTTCGAACCTGGACTACGCTTGGATGATGAGAAGAATGGAACAATGGACGACGAATCTGGACTACGCTTGGGTGATGAGAAGATTGGGTACGGTTGTTTTTTGTAATAATTGTGCATTGTAATTGCTTATTGGTAATTTATGGATAATGTGTTAAGTCAATTGTTATATGTTGTATGGAACCACTGCTGTTTCTACTGTTTTTACTGTTTGTGAACCGCTGTGAGTCGCCTTCGGGCTTGAGATACAGCGGTATAGAAGCAAAGTAAATAATAAATAAATAAATTGTCCATATTATATTATTATTATTATACAATGTATTGCACTTATCATTTATTACTAGATTTATTTTGTATTATAATATATCTATTATATTTGTAATTTATTATGTTTATTAGTTATATGTTTTATATTTGCAATTTATTATATTTATTACTTATTATTATATTTATTATACAACATAAATATAATTACATCCTACTGTAGTGTAAAATTATATCATTATTCTATTATTATTATTATTATTATTATTATCATTATACTATGCAACGTATTGCATATATCATTTATTACTAGATTTATATTATTATATTTATTATATTTGTAATTTATTATGTTTATCAGTTATTATATTTTAATATTTGTAAGCTTTTTATTGCATTTATCATTTATTACTAGATTTATTTTGTATTATTATATTTATTAAATTTGTTATTTATTATGTTTATTAGTTATTATATGCTTTATATTTTTAATTTATTCAATGTATTATTTTTATTATATTTGTAATTTATTATATGTATTGTATTTGCTGTTTTTATATTTATCATTTATTATTACGTTTATGATATTTGCAATTTATTATATTTATTATCTATTATTATATGTAATATGTATATTAATTATTATATGTATAATATTTGCAATTTATTATATTCATTATTTTATTATATTTGTAATTTATTATATGTATTGTATTTGCTGTTTGTTATATTTATCATTTCTGATATTTGGAATTTATTATATTTATTATCTATTATTATATGTATTACGTATATTAACTATTACATTTATTATGTTTGTAATTTAATATATTTTATTATATTTGTAATATATTATTACTTATTATCTTTATTATACATCACAACATAAATATAATTACATCCTACTATAGTGTATAATCATATCATTATTTTTTTATTATTATTATAAAATGTATTGCATCTATCATTCATTACTAGATTTATTTTGCATTATTATATTTATCATGTTTATTAGTTATTATTATATTAATGATACATCACAACATAAATATCATTACATCATTATTTTATGATTATCATTTTATTATTATTATCATTTTATTATTTTATTTTTTATTATTTTATTATTATTATCATTTTATTATCATTTATTATTATTTTATTATTATTATTTTATTGTTATTGTTAACATTTTATTATTATTTTATTATTATCATCATTGTATTATTTTTATTATTTTATTATTATCATTGTATTATATTTTATTATTATTATATTTTTAATTTATTATTATTATTATTTTATTATTATTATTTTATAATTTTATTATATTATTACATTTATTATTATTATTATTATTATTTTATTATTATTTATTCTATTTATTACTAATTATTCTATTTATTATACATGCTATTTATTTTATTTATCATTTATTACTGGACTTATTTTGTATTATTATATTTATTAAATTTGTAATTTATTATGTTTATTAGTTATTATATGTTTTATATTTGTAATTTATTCTATTTATTCTATTTATTACTTATTATTCTATTTATTATACATCACAACATAAATATAATTACATCCTACTGTAGTGTACAATCATATCATTATTGTTGTTGTTATTATTATACTATGCAATTTATTTAATTTATTATTTATTACTAGATTTATTTTGTATTATTATATTTATTATATTTGTAATTTATTATATTTGTAATTTATTATATTTATTATACATCACAACATAAATATAATTACATCCTACTGTAGTGTACGATCATATCATTATTCTATTATTATTTTATATTATTATTATTTTATACTATTATTATTATTTTATATTATTTCATTATTATTATTATATTTGTAATTTATTATGTTTATTAGTTATTCTATTTATTATACATCACAACATAAATATAATTACATCTGACTGTAGTGTACAATCATATCATTATTTTAAAATTCTATTTTATTATTATTACATTATTATTATATTAGTATTATTATTTTATTATTATTAGTATTATTTTATTATTATTATTCTATTTATTATACATCACAACACAAATATAATTACATCCTACTGCAGTGTAAAATCATATCATTATTATATTATTATTACATTATTATTTATTATTATTATTTTATTTATTATTATTATATCATTATTGTATTATTATTATTATTTTATTATTTTATTATTATTCTATTTTATTATTATTTTATTATTATTATTTATTCAGTTACTAATTATTGTATTATACATGCAATTTATTTTATTTATCATTTATTACTAGACTTATTTTGCATTATTATATTTATTAAATTTGTAATTTATTATGTTTATTAGTTATTTTATGTTTTATATTTGTAATTTATTTGTAATTTATTCTATTTATTACTTATTATTCTATTTATTATACATCACAACATAAATATAATTACATCCTACTGCAGTGTAAAATCATATCATTATTCTAATAGTATTACATCATTATTATTATTATCATTATTATTTATTTTATTATTGTTATTTCATTATTATTATTATTTTATTTCATTACTATTATTATTATTTTATTATTATTTCATTATTATTATTTTATTATAGTTTTATTATTTTATTATTATTATATTTCATTATTATTATTATTACCATTATATTATTATTATTATTATATATTATTATTATTATTTCATTATTATTATATTATTTTATATTACTATATTATTATTATATTATTATTATTACATTATTATTATATTATTTTATATTACTATATTATTATATATATTATTATTATTTCATTATTATTATTATATTATTTTATATTACTATATTAATTATTTATTATTATTATATTATTATTTTATATTACTATATTATTATTATATATTATTATATTATTATTTATATTATATTATTATTATATTATTATTATTATTTCATATTATTATATTATTTTATATTACTATATTATTATTATTTCATTATTATTATTATATTATTTTATATTACTATATTATTATTATTATTATATTATTTTATATACTATATTATTATATTATTATTATTATTTTCATTTATTATTATATTATTTTATATTACTATATTATTATTATATATTATTATTATTTCTATTATTATTATTATTTTATATTACTATATTATTATTATATTATTATTATTATTTCATTATTTATATATTATTATTTTTATATTTTATTATATTATTATTTCATTATTATTATTATATTATTATTTTATATTACTATATTATTATTATCATATATTATTATATTATTATTATTATTTATTTATTATATTATTTTATATATATTATATTATTATTATTATTATTATATTATTATTATATTATATATTTATTATTTTATATATTATTATATTATTATATTATTATTATATTATTTATTATATTAATATTATTATTATATATTATTATATTATTTATAATATTATTGTTATTATTACATGTTATTATTTTACTTTATTTATTATTGTTACATTTTAATATTTTACTCTATCATTACATTTATTATTTTACTCTATTCATTATTATTATTACATTTAATTTTTTACTCTATGTATTATTATTGTATTCATTATATTACTTTAATATTATTGTATTACATTTATTATTTTACTCTATTCATTATTATTGCATTCATTATATTACTTTAATATTATTGTATTACATTTATTATTTTACTCTATTCATTATTATTAATACATTTATTATTTTACTTTACTACTATTATGATTAAATGCATTCTTTTACTCTATTTATTATTATTATATATTATTATTATTATTATATTATTATATTATTATATTATTATTATTATTATTATTATTATTATTATTATTATTATTATTATTATAATGGAATGATACGAGTTGAATACCTCACAACAGAGAGTGTGATCCTAGAGAGGAAGACCTGCTGAGAACCGGAAGCGTGCGGCGGCGTCCTCCGTCTTCCTAGCGTGGCGCGCCTCTATGGAGGAAAAGGCGTGGCCGGAAGTGGAGCAGCGGAGCACTTCCGCCGCGGGGCGGGGCCCGAGAGGCAGGCAAGGCGGGCGGGCACCGCGGAGAAGACCAGAGAGAGAAGAGAAGAGAGAGGAGAAAGGAGAGAGGCGAGAGCGGCCAGGCTTGGCCTTCCCGAAAGAGAGAGAGAGAGAGAGAGAAAGAGAGAGAAAGGAGGCGTGGCTTAGGAGCAGAGGGGGCGTGGCCAGCCCAGGCAGAGAGGTGGGCGGGGCTTCTTCGGCGGGCGCTGCGAAGGCCGGCGCTGATTGGCTGTTGGCACAGTGGGCGGGCCCTCAGGAGGAGGAGGAGGAGAAAGAAGGATGCTCCTGACATGCCTTCCTAGAGCGGGCCTGGCCCAACTTGGGCCCTCCTTCCTGCCTTCCTTCCTTCCTTCTAGGCCGCTCTAGGCCTCACTACAAACTCACAGACCCTCATTCATTGCTGTGCAAGGGAGCTGCCTGGACTGGTTTGGAACCGCATTAGGTGGCCAGTGTGGACGGGGCCTGAGCCCTCCATAATTGTGGCCTTTCTTTTTCCTCAGGCAGGCCGGGCAATTCATCCTTTATTGATCCAAGAGGCCTTCATCCTTTATTGATCCCTTGGCATCGGTATTGGCATTGGCATTGGCATCGGCAGCGGAGATGGCGTTTGTGTCGACGCAGGGCCCGACGGTGGTGGACCAGACCACCCTCATGAAGAAGTACCTCCAGTTCGTGGCCGCCCTCACCGACGTCAACACACGTGAGTCCCCACCACCACCACACAAGGACTCCCACCACTACTCCTTACGGACATCGTTCACGTTCCTTGTAGATCTGGGACTATCCACACTCAGACTCCATTTTACAAGTCAGTCAAGATAGTCAATATTACGTACATCATTCACTTTCCTTGTAGGTGACGTAGTATGACGCTTCCCCTTGTTGTTTGAGGGTGTAGGAGGGGCTGCACGACATGTGGCCAGATCTGGGACTATTCCGACTCAGACTCCCATTTTAGAAGTCAGCCAGGACTTGGTAGTGTCAGTCTGCTGCAGTGTTTAAGTAAAAGGGAAGGTTTCCCCTTAACGTTAAGCCTAGTCGTGGGTCACTACAGTGTGCATTTGGTAGTATCAGTACACTGTAGCGTTTAGGTAAAGGTGAAGGTTTCCCCTTTACGCTAAGTGTAGTTGTGTGACCGACTCTGGGACTATCCGCACTCAGACTCCATTTTACAAGTCAGTAAAATTTAGAAGTCAGCCAGGATAGTATGCATTTGCTAGTGTCAGTATGCTGCAGTGTATAGGTAGAGGTGAAGGTTTCCCCTTAATGTTTAGCCTAGTCGTGTGTCCCACTCTGGGACTCTGATCCTGGACTATCCACACTCAGACTCCCATTTTAGAAGTCAACCAGGATAGTATGTGTTTGGTAGTGTCAGTATGCTGCCATGTATAGGTAAAAATGAAGGTTTCCCCTTTATGCTAAGCCTAGTCATGTGTCCGACACTGGGACTTTCCACTCAGACTCCATTTTAGAAATCAGTACAATATAGAAGTCAACCAGGATAGTATGCATTTGGTAGTGTCAGTCTGCTGCAGCATATAGGTGAATTGTATAGATGGAGGTGAAGGTTTCCCCTTAACGCTAAGCCTAGTCATGTGTCCGACTCTGGGACTCCAATCTGGGGCTATCCAGGCTCAGACTCCCATTTTAGAAGTCAGCCAGAACTTGGTATTTCAGTCTGCTGCAGTGTTTACATAAAGGTGAAAGTTTCCCCTTAAAGTTAAGCCTAGTTGTGTGTCAGACTCTGGGACTCTCATCTGGGACTATCCACACTCAGACTCCATTTTACAAGTGAGTACAATTTAGAAATCAGCCAGGATAGTATGTAGTTGGTAGTGTCAGCCTGCTGCTGTGTATAGGTAAAGATGAACGTTTCCCCTTAACGCTAAGCCTAGTCATGTGTCTGACTCTGAGACTCTGATCTGGGACTATCCACACTCAGACTCCATTTTACAAGTCAGTACAATTTAGAAATCAGCCAGGATATTCAGTATTTTAGCTGGCTAAAATATTTATAAAATAGTGGCAGAAATGTCCAACTCTGTGACTCTGATCTGGGACTATCCACACTCAGACTCCATTTTAGAAACTAGACAGCTCTAATGTCTGGGAGCAGGACGTGTGGAAAAGATCTTGGAGGCCTTGTGGACAGGAAGGGGAACATGAGCCAATAATGTGATGTGGCGGCAAAAAAAGCCAATGGGATTTTGGCCTGCATCAAGAGGAGCATAGTGTCTAGATCTAGGGAAGTAATGCTACCCCTCTATTCCGCTTTGGTTAGACCACACCTGGAATATTGTGTCCAATTCTGGGCACCACAATTCAAGAGAGATATTGACAAGCTGGAATGTGTCCAGAGGAGGGTGACTAAAACGACAAGGGTCTGGAGAACAAGCCCTATGAGGAGTGGCTTAAGGAGCTGGGCTGGTTTAGCCTGAAGAGAAGGCTGAGAGGAAACATGATGAGGGCCATGGATAAATACGTGAGAGGAAGCCACAGGGAGAGAGAAGGGAGCAAGCTTGAGGATTGCCAGGGTGGGGGCTTGCCTAATGAATTCCAGAGCCGGGGGGCCACCACAGGGAAGGCGGGTCCCAAACCATTCAGGGCTTTGTAGGTCAAGGTGCAGGTTTTGGGCCCGGAAGTGATGAGTCCAGGAGGACACCCAAGCTGTGGACCTGTGACTTGAGGGGGAGCGAGACCTGAGATTTGAATAAAGAAGCAGAATGATGAGAAGCCTTCTCTCGAACCCGAGTGTGTGTGTGTGTGGAGAGGGATGCGTGTGAACGAGTGAATGGGCGCCGCGTCTGGTGGGCTTGGCCTTCCGGGTGATGAGAGCCAAACTGATAAGACCTGACTGCTTCTTTGGGAGGGAGGTTGCACTAGAGGAGCGGGATATCGCTATAAGCCTCGTTATAGCCGTTTCTCGTTCTGTTTTGCAGCCGACGAAACCAAACTGAAGATGATGCAAGAAGTCAGTGAAAATTTCGAGGTAGGAATGGCTGGAGCGCGGTGGGGTGGGCTTCCCTTGATTTCTCACTTACGGGTGGAGATGGAAATCCAGGTTGCCCAGCCATTCAGTCCATTAAATATATTTGCATTGATATTCATTGAAATATTCACAGACCTCATTAAAATATTTCCTAAAATATTCATAAAATATTTGCAGAAATGTCCATAAAAATATTTGGTATATTAGGTAAAATATTCATAAAATATTGGTATGAATATTATGAATATTCATTGAAATATTCCCAGAATTGTTCATAAAAATATTTGCTAAAATATTCATAAAATATTTGCAGAAATATTCACGAAAGTATTTGCAGAAATAGTCACAACAATGGGTTGTTGTAGGTTGTTTTGGGGCTATATGGACATGTTCTAGAGGCATTCTCTCCTGACGTTTTGCCTGCATCTATGGCAAGCATCCTTGTGAGGTCTGTTGGAACTAGGAAAAGGGGTTTATATATCTGGAATAATGACTAGGGTGGGACAAAGGACTCTTGCCTGCTGGAGCTAGGTGGGAATGTTCATCTGACCCCCTTGATTAGCATTTGATTGCCTGACAGTGCCTGGGGGAATCTTTTGTTGAGAGGTGATTAGATGTCCTTGTTTGTTTCCTCTCTGTTGTTTTGCTGTTGTAATTTTAGAGTTTTTTAAATGCTGGTAGCCAGATTTTGTTCATCTTCATGGTTTCCTCCTTTCTGTTGAAATTGGGGTTTTCTCCAGGCACTGCCAGGCCATCAAATGCTAATGAAGGTGGTCAGTTGAAACATTCACACCTAGCTCCAGCAGACAAGAGTCCTTTGTCCCACCCTGGTCACTATTCCACAGATATATAAACCCATTTTCCTAGTTCCAACAGACCTCACTACCTCTGAGGATGCTTGCCAGAGATGCAGGCGATAATGCCTCTAGAACATGGCTATATAGTCCGAAAAAACCTACAACAACCCAGTAAATCCCAGTAAAAGCCTTCGACAATTCAATTAAGCCAACCTTTGTGTGGGGTGGGGTGGGGGGTACTCCTGGGACAAGAATGTAGGGGGAGCACTAGCATAAAATTATATGGCTTCAGAGTCTCTGTTTCCCTTCCAGAACGTGACCTCCTCCCCGCAGTACTCCACCTTCCTGGAACACATCATCCCGCGCTTCCTCACCTTCCTCCAGGACGGAGAGGTCCAGTTCCTGCAGGAAAAGCCCGCACAGGTACCTCCCCCCCCACTTCAAAACCACAGGTGTTTCCCTTTCCGCTGGGAGTATTATTCTCAACTAATCCTGTCAAATGTTTTATTTGTTTATTGACAGTATTGATATTCAACCCTTCTCGCCCCGCAGCACACCACTGGAAGGTTTTATGGCATCGTAACTAGCCTCCCCACATAAAGCAGTACCAAAATTTCCTACTTGACAGATGCAGCTGTCTTTCGGGCTGCATAGGTCGACAGCAAGCTAGGCTAATGGCCGGAAGCTCGCTCTGACCCGGGTGGCACACCGCTGGAAGGTTTTATGGCATCGTAAATAGCCTCCCCACCTAAAGCGGTACCTAAATTTCCTACTTGAGAGATATAACTGTCTTTCAGGCTGCATAGGTAGACAGCAAGCTAGGCTAATAGTCGGAAGCTCACTCTGATCCTGTTGGCATGCCACTGGAAGGTATTATGACATCGTAAATAGCCTCCCCACCTAAAGCGGTGCGTAAATTTCCTACTTGAGAGTTGCAACTGTCTTTCAGGCTGCATAGGTCAACAGCAAGCTAGGCTGATGGCCGGAAGCTCACTCTGACCCAGGTGGCACGCCGCTGGAAGGTATTATGGCATCGTAAATAGCCTCCCCATCTAAAGCGGTTCCTAAATTTCCTACTTGAGAGATGCAACTGTCTTTCGGGCTGCATAGGTCGACAAAGCTAGGCTAATGGCCGGAAGCTCACTCCGACCCGGTCTGGCTTCAACCACTCGGTCAGTAGTGATTTAATGCAGCGGGCTATCAGCAGTCCTGTTCGATCAATGAAAAAAAGTTTCAATACTCATTAGTAAATAAGGAATGGGGCGGCAAATTGTTTCTGAAGTTTTTCTAAAATATCGTATGGGACTATTAACAAGAGTTACTTTTCCATTAAGTAACTGCACCCATAAGGGAAACTTAATGGTTTTGTTGTTGTGGAACTCTTCCTCCTTCTCTTCTTTCTCTGCAGCAACTCAGGAAATTAGTTCTGGAGATCATCCACCGGATCCCGACCAATGAGCACCTCCGCCCTCACACCAAGAACATCCTGTCCGTCATGTTCAGGTTTCTAGAGGTACGTACGGTCCCTTTGTAGATCATACCACACTGGGTTATTAAATGCCATTTCCTAATTGGTTCTGTTATTTATTTATTTATTGTTTCTATAATTTAAAAAACATGGGAAAAGTTGATTAAACTGCCGATAAAATAATAATAATACATCTATCTAAATAAAAATGTCATGTTCGTTTGTGGGATTAACATAACTCAGAAACCACTGGACAAATTGACACAAAATTTGGACACTACACCCCTAACAGACCAAGGGGTGTTCATCACCCCTAAAATTACAAAAAGCAACAAAAAAAACCCCAGCAGAACAGACTTAAAACCCCCCAAAATACACCATATATATATATATATATATATATATATATATATATATATATATATATATATACATACAGACACACATACACACTCATGTACATATATACATGCACACATACATACACATGTGTATATATATACCCAAGCACACACAAATATACACACACATCTACACACACACACATATTCATATATACATGCATGCACAAATATACACATGCACACATATATAAACACAAATATGCATATAGACAATCACACCTATACACAATATACATATACACATATAAACACACAAATGTACACATACATCTACATACACACACGTACATACATATACACATGCACACACAAATATACACATGCACACATATCTAAACACAAATATGCATATATATACAATCACACCTATACACAATATACATATACACATAAATATACACACACATACATCTACATACACACAAATATATACATATACACACATATATAAACACAAATATGCATATAGACACACACCTATACACAATATACATGTACACATATAAACACAAATATACACACACATCCATCTACATACACACACATATATACATATACACATGTATATAAAATATGGATATGAACTGCATGTATATAAAATAATATGAATCTAATATATAATAACGTACTGGTAATATAATGCAATATAATAAAATAATAATACTAATAAGACATGGAATATAATAATACAAATAAACAACAATAATCTATGATTCCTCTGCCTTCCTGTTGTCTCAGCCCTGGTTCTTAACTAGGAGTCGTTTGCAAGTCGGATGTTTGACTCGGAGATGGACTGCATGTATATAAAATATGGTTATTCTAATATATAATAACGTACCGGTAATATAATGTAATATAATAAAATAATAATACTAATAAGATATAGACTATAATAATACAAAGGAACAACAATAATCTATGATTCCTCTGCCTTCATGTTGCCTCAGCCCTGGTTCTTAACTAGGAGTCGTTTGCAAGTCAGATGTTTGTGACTCGGGAATGGACTGCATATATATACAATGGCATATATATAAAATAATGTACAATAATGTATAAAAAATAATATGATTCTAATATATAATAACATACCTGTAATATAATAAATAATAATACTAATAAGATATAAAATATAATAATATAAAGAAACAACAGCAACAACAATAATATAAAGTTCCTCTGCCTTCATGTTGCCTCAGCCCTGGTTCTTAACTAGGAGTCGTTTGCAAGTCGGATGTTTGTGACTCGGGGATGGACTGAATATAAATAAAATAATATGATTCTAATATATAATAACGTACCAGTAATATAATAAAATAATAGTACTAATAAGATATAGAATATAGTAATACAAATAAACAACAATAATCTATGAATCCTCTGCCTTCATGTTGCCTCATCCCTGGTTCTTAACTAGGAGTCATTTGCAAGTTGGATGTTTGTGACTCGGGGACTCTTTGTATCCCAAGCGAACCAACTGAGACGTGTTGTTATAATGTTTTGGTGCCTCTCCTGTTATGTTTATGTTGGGAAATTGAGTGGAAATATAGATCATATAGCAAGGAATGAGTCCTGCGCCTCACCCTACCCTCTCTTCTTTCCCCAATGTTTAGACGGAAAACGAAGAAAACGTCCTGATTTGCTTGAGAATCATCATCGAGCTGCACAAACAGTTCCGGCCACCCATCACCCAAGAGGTAATAATGTTGTAACATAATATATATTATATACTAATAGTATAATATACTGGGATTGAACTATATATATTATGGTATTATATAAAATGCAGTGCAATATTATACAATAATATAATGATAATTGTATATTATATGTAATATTACTAATAATATTGCAGTATAGTGGTATAGATAAATTTACTCAGATATAAAGAATTAAAGTTGTCACAGTTTGGAAGAATAGCCTTATGCAAAATGAATGGCACTGCCCAAGATAAACTTCTTATTCTGGATGCTACCAAAAGAATCATCACATTGTATATTATTATAAGTACCAATTATACTAATATATTAGTATTACTATATTAAAATATTATTATATATCATTATATTGCATTATTAGTCGTATTATATAGTATTACATTATTATTATTATTATTATTATTATTATTATTATTATTATTATACATTATTGTACTCCTTGTATATTTCCAGCTATACTTATCCCTCAGTACTTAAAAGTTTCAGTGATTTCAATCACGTTTCCTTTTAATTTCCACTATTGTTAATTGGCATCATTTGTATGTTGTATATAATTTGTCTGACTGTGTTGCGTGTCCCCGTTCCCCCCTCGGGCCATTGGGGAGGGGCGGCAAAAGCATAACATGATTATTGTTGTTGTTGTTAACAGGCAATTTTCATCTCTTTTTTCCCTCCTGCACAGATTCATCATTTTTTGGATTTTGTGAAACAGATTTACAAAGAACTCCCCAAAGTCGTGGTAAGCGTTGCCGTTCTCGTATTACGGGAGTCGCTTTGAGGTTCATTCATTCTCTTGACGGGGCTGAGCAGGTTGTGGTTGGTTTTCCATGGCTGTCCTTGCAAAGTTTGGTTGTTCTTCCCATTAGGACAACGGGAAGCGGCTTGTGCTTCTCTGGGTTGTTTGCAGAACTTGCAATGCCAGCCGTGTGGTTGTGCGTGTGGATTATATGCTTGTGCAATAATGTCCTGTGAACTTAGGGACGCTTGAGCACAAGACTATTACTGACATTGACCTCCTTCTTTGTGTCGCAGAACCGATATTTTGAGAACCCGCAGGTGATCCCCGAAAACACGGTTCCCACCCCGGAGATGGTGGGCATGATCACCACCATCGTCGTGAAAGTCAACCCCGAGCGGGACGACAGCGAGACCAGGACGGTACGTGTCGCACAAGCAAGGACCGGAGAACCGGCCAGTGGAATCCGCCCACAAAGTAGCCTTGGCCAGTGCCAGGACGTGCGTTTCAGGGGGGTCTGAATGTATATAAAATAAGATGATTCTAATATATAATAACATACCGGTAATAGAATGTAATATAATAAAATAATACTACTAATAAGATATAGAATATAATAATACAAATAAACAACAATAGTCTATTATTCCTCTGCCTTCATGTTGCATTGTACAATATCAGTATTAAATGTTATTATATTGTACTATACTGTTATATGGTAATATTATTAGTAATGTTACATGTAGTATAAAATATATAATTACAATATGGTATTATTATTAGGAGTATTATATTGTATAACATTATAATATTATAAATTTTATATGTATATCTATATATATAAAAATGCTCTGTGCGTCATGAGTACCTTAAAAACAAAAGAACCAAGGAACGAAATCACACCAAATTTGGCAACAAAACATCTCACAACACAAGGAGTGACCATCACTCAAAAAATTATGATTTTGTCATTTGGGAGTTGTAGTTGCTGGGATTTATAGTTCACCTACAATCAAAGAACATTCTGAACTCTACCAATGATGGAATTGAACCAAACTTGGCACACTGAACTCCCTTGACCCAACAGAAAATACTGGAAGGGTTTGGTGGGCACTGAGTTTGGGAGTTGTAGTTCACCTCCATCCAGAGAGCCCTGTGGACTCAGACAATGATGGATATGGACCAAACTTGGCACAAGTACTCATGGTGGAGTTTTGGGGAAATAGACCTTGACATTTGGGAGTTGTAGTTGATGGGATTTATAGTTCACCTACAATCACAGAGCATTCTGAACCCCACCAACGATGGAATTGAACCAAACTTGGCACACAGTTCTCCCACGACCAACAGAAAACACTGGAAGGGTTTGGTGGGCATTGACCTTGAGTTTGGGAGTTGTAGTTCACCTACATCCAGAGAGCCCTGTGGATTCAAGCAATGATGGATCTGGACCAAACTTGGCACGGATACTCAATATGCCCAAATGTGAACACTGGTGGAGTTTGGGGAAAGTAGAATCTTGGCATTTGGGAGTGGTAGTTGCTGGGATTTATAGTTCACCTACAATCACAGAGCATTCTGAACTCAACCAATGATGGAATTGAATCAAACTTGGCACACAGGACTCCCATGAAACACTAGAAGTGTTTGGTGGGCATTGATGTTGAGTTTGGGAGTTGTAGTTTACCTACATCCAGAGATCACTGTGGGCTCAAACAATGATGGATCTGGACCAAACTCTACACAAATACTCAATATGCCCAAATGTGAACACTGGTGGAGTTTGGGGAAAATACAATCTTGGCATTTGGGAGTTGTAGTTGCTGGGATTTATAGTTCACCTACAGTCACAGAGCATTCCGAACCCCACCAACGATGGAATTAGGCCAAACCTCCCACACAGAACCCCTATGTGGGCCACAGCAACGTGTGGCAGGGGATGGCTAGTTATATTATTTTTTCAGTAAATTTGGTAGTAGAGGGGCCCTTTGGCTTATACTGTGTTTGTATAGGAATAGGTGGAAAAAGTATAACCCAAGGCGCCGTCGTAAGTGAGATTCCCCATTTAAAAATGGGGTTCTTTGAGCGATTTCGGCCTTTGGAAAGAGACGGGGTTTGCTTTTGTCTCTGCAGCATTCGATCATCCCTCGCGGCTCGCTCTCCCTGAAGGTCCTGGCCGAACTGCCCATCATCGTTGTCCTCATGTATCAGGTCAGCAGTCCGTCCTCCTTTTCCCACCAAACTCCACGTCTTGTTTGTTTACTTGTAGATGCAAGTGTTGGGGTGCAACGCTTTGGGCTTGCACACAGTTCTGATTTTCTCTGAAATGGCTGAAGGGGAAAAAGGGATTTGTTTGGCTCACCCAGACACACTCACTTACGTTGTGGTCTTTCTTCAGCTCTACAAACTCAACATCCATAACGTGGTGGCCGAATTTGTGCCCTTGATCATGAATACGATTATCATCCAGGTGTCCACGCAAGCAAGGTAAGGCGGTGGAACGAAGTCACTCGATACTCTTATTATTGTGTACTAGCCATCCCCTGCCACGTATTGCTGTGGCCCAGACTGCATATACGTTTTTTGTGTGTGTACATATATATCTGTGTATATATGTGTGTTTGCATATATATATATATATGGGTGTATATATGTGTGTATATGTTTGTGTATTTGTGTGTTTATATGTGTACATGCATATTGTATATATGTGTATATATTTGTTCTTAAGCTAACAACAACAACAAAACAACAACATAAAAAGACATGCCTCCATTCCTAAGCTGCCTGGGGCAATCTTTTGTTGGAAGGTGATTAGATGTCCCTGAGTGTTTTCCCTCTGCTGTTGTTCTGTTTTTAGAGTTTTTTAATACTGGTAGCCAGGCTATCAAATGCTAATCAGGGTGGTCAGTTGAAACATTCACACCTAGCTCCAGCAGACAAGAGTTCTTTGTCCCACCCTGGACATCATTCCACAGATATATAAACCCTATTTTCCCAGTTTCCAACAGACCTCACAACTGGGTTGTTGTAGGTTTTTTCGGGCTCTATGGCCATGTCCTAGAGGCATTCTCTCCTGACGTTTCGCCTGCATCTATGGCAAGCATCCTCAGAGTAGTGAGGTCTGTTGGAACTAGGAAAGTGGGTTTATATATCTGTGGAATGACCAGGGTGGGACAAAGGACTCTTGTCTGCTGGAGCTGGGTGTGAATGTTTCAACTGACCACCTTGATTAGCATTTGATGGCCTGGCAGTGCCTGGAGCAATCTTTTGTTGAGAGGTGATTAGATGTCCCTGATGGTTTTCCCTCTGCTGTTTTAATGTTAGACTTTTTTTTAATACTGGTAGCCAGGCTATCAAATGCTAATCAAGGTGGTCAGTTGAAACATTCACACCCAGCTCCAGCAGACAAGAGTCCTTTGTCCCACCCTGCCACCGTATTAATGATAATCAGGCTGAGGTAATATTGAGAAGTTGATCTGTGAACACACCCTGTGCCACTATAGTTTCTTAGAGGCTGTTAAAAGCTAACTCGAATAAGGCTTTGACCACAAAGGGTATGCACACTGAGGCTGGAATAAGTTGATAAAAATAATAAGAACGTTTATTGAACAGGCTTGAATAATTCAGGTACAAATGCTTAATGGTTTCAGTAAAATACTGGCATAAAAAGCATGTGGTTACGTTTGAGTAAAGATCTTAAAACTTCTGGGTTACAAGTCCTAAAAATTACTTCAGGAAATGAATCTCTGACAGTACCTCCCAAAAATCTCCCTTAGGAATCTAGCCAAAACTCTGAACTAGCCTTCCTTAGGAAATGAACAGACCACTAACGGGGTACTGCTCCACAAAACAGTATTCTAGCTATCTCCTCAATAGCTATTCTGAATACCTCTCAAAAGACTAACCCAAACTTCTTTTTCAAACCCAGACTCGTTCTCACTAATGCCAAGATGGCGTCTCCCTGTCTCCCTTTCCTAAAGTGGATGCCGTGGCTTCGCCAGGCCCACTCCCTTAAGCTATCAGGCAGCTAGCTAAGGTGAGGGATTCATTACACAGGTTTACACGAGAAACAAAACAACATTGGGACGCCCATGCTTGGTTTAAGCGTTGCACTTTATCACAGCCAGGCTGGCACCATTTGCACGGTCACCTTCTTGGTAAAGGCCGAGCTAAGCCACTCTTTGCTTTCATTTTTAGGCAGCACAAACTCTACAACAAAGAGCTGTATGCCGACTTCATTGCTGCACAGATAAAAACGTTATCATTCTTGGCTTACATCATAAGGATTTATCAGGTAAGCAACAACGGAGATTGATATTCTTGCTCAGATGTGTGTGTAGCTACTGCAGAAGCAAAAAAAAAAGTTCTAAAATCCACCCAGATTTTCATTTTCCACTAGTTTAAAACAAGGCAGATGTGTGTTTTCAGGGACTGTGAGGTCGAAGAGAGCAAGGAGCCTTAAGCATTCCATTGAATTTCTGCTGGTATTCAGTCTTCCTTCTGGTCAGGGATAATGCAAATTATAGTTGAGCCACCTTTGGAGGGCCACAAGTACTATTCCTTTGTGATATTGAAAGAAAACAAGCTTCTGCTAGGTTGTCAGTCAGCTGAGATATTAAATAATAGGTGCTCGGAATAAATGCTGCATTTCATCACATAATAGTTGCACCGCCTTTTTGGAAAAAAGGGAGGGGGAAATCAGCAGAGATATTAAGTAATACATGTCAATATTCTCAAAAAGGATGCTTTATTTCATCGCATAATAGTCGCACCCCTATTTTTTGCACGGGGGGTGGGGGGGGAAGTCAGCTATTAAATAATAGGTGCTTCCAGTATTCTCAAAATAGATATGATATTTCATCACAAAATAGTTGCACCCGCCTCTTTTTTTGCAAAAAAGGGAGGGGGAAATCAGCTATTGAATAATAGGTGCTTCCAGTATCCTCAAAATAGATGCTATATTTCATCGCATAATAGTCGCGCCCCCATTTTTTGCACAAAGGGAGGCGAAAGTCAGCTATTAAATAATAGGTGCTTCCAGTATTCTCAAAATAGACATTATATTTCATCATATAATAGTCGCACCCACCTTATTTGCAAAAAAGGGAGGGGGAAATCACCTGAGATGTTAAATAATAGATTCTGTTAATATTCTCAAAATAGATGCTATATTTCATCACATAATAGTCGCGCCCGCCCTTTTTTGTAAAAAAAGTGAGGGGGGGGGTGGAGTCTGCTTCGATATTAAATAATAGTTTCTGCTAATATTCTCAAAATAGATGCTATATTTCATCGCATAATAGTCGCACCTCCTTTTTTGAGAAAAAGGAAAGGGGGAAGTGCCTCTATTCTTTGGTGAAATGCAGTATTTACCATGTCATCCCAAACACATCTAATTATACATGGTCTTTTTCGACTTCCTTTGTTCTGTGGTCATCCTAGGCAAATGCTTTGGACAAATGGTGTTCTCTAAACCTTGCATGATTCTATATAGCCCTCCAGGTGTTTTGGACTTCAAGTCCCACAATTCCTGGTCTCAGGTCCTTTCCTTTCCCCCCTCAGCCACTTAAGCGGGAAAAGGAAAGGGCCTGAGGCCAGGAATTGTGGGACTTGAAGTCCAAAACACCTGGAGGGAAGGCCGAAGTTAGTCCATGCTTGACATAGCCTATACACAACAGTTCTATGTCCCATACTGACCTTTATGGCATGACTTCAAAGGAGCCGTGACATTGTTAGTACCTGGAAGGAAGATTACATGAGGTATATTATCTTTGGGATATTAAATAATAGATGCCATAGATAGTCTCGGAATATATTTTGCATTTTGTCACGTAATAGTCACACTATATAATAGTGTGCACCCCCCACTTTTACCTGGAAGTAGGATTACATAAGGTATATTATCGTCAGGATATTAAATAATAGATGCCATAGATAGTCTCGGAATATATTTTGCATTTCCTCACGTAATAGTCGCACCATATAATAGTGTGCACCCCCCACTTTTACCTGGAAGTAGGATTACATAAGGTATATTATCGTCAGGATATTAAATAATAGATGCCATAGATAGTCTCGGAATATATTTTGCATTTCCTCACGTAATAGTCGCACCATATAATAGTGTGCACCCCCCACTTTTACCTGGAAGTAGGATTACATAAGGTATATTATCGTCAGGATATTAAATAATAGATGCCATAGATAGTCTCGGAATATATTTTGCATTTCCTCACGTAATAGTCGCACCATATAATAGTGTGCACCCCCCACTTTTACCTGGAAGTAGGATTACATAAGGTATATTATCGTCAGGATATTAAATAATAGATGCCATAGATAGTCTCGGAATATATTTTGCATTTCCTCACGTAATAGTCGCACCATATAATAGTGTGCACCCCCCACTTTTACCTGGAAGTAGGATTACATAAGGTATATTATCGTCAGGATATTAAATAATAGATGCCATAGATAGTCTCGGAATATATTTTGCATTTCCTCACGTAATAGTCGCACCATATAATAGTGTGCACCCCCCACTTTTACCTGGAAGTAGGATTACATAAGGTATATTATCGTCAGGATATTAAATAATAGATGCCATAGATAGTCTCGGAATATATTTTGCATTTCCTCACGTAATAGTCGCACCATATAATACCCCCCCCACTTTTTTGCTATAAAAGGGGGAAGTGCATGAATTATGAGGTGAAACACATTATTTACTTTGACCTTTTGCTTTCTGACAGGAATTGGTGGCAAAGTATTCGCAGCAGATGGTGAAGGGGATGCTGCAACTGCTGTCCAACTGTCCAGCCGAGACAGCTCACCTCCGGAAGGAGCTCCTCATTGCGGCCAAGCACATCCTCACCACGGATTTGAGGAGCCGTACGTTATATGTTTTCCGCTCTCTGGCACATTGATTTATTATTCATTAAAATTATTAAAATACTTATTTACATCCCACTTTATATTCTAATAACATTGCAATGCATTAAATTGAATTATTTTTATTATTATTATTATTATTATTATTATTATTTTACTTATTTATTTTTGTGCTGCTTTTCTCCCATAAAAAATTCAACAAAAGCTCATAAACCTTGTAACACTTTTTTTGTGTGTGTGTTTTTCCATAATTCCAGAGTTCATTCCCTGCATGGACAAGCTGTTTGATGAATCCATCCTCATTGGCTCTGGATACACGGCCCGCGAAACACTCAGGTCTGTATGGGAAATCATTGACTTGGTTTATTTATTGTTTATTTATTTACAGTATTTGTATCCCGCTTTTCTCACCCCAAGGGGAACTCAAAGCGGTTTACACATAAGTAAGGGCAAAAATCCAATGCCAGTACAAACAATTACAACTACACACTACAATTAGACATACTGTATTTACTCGAGTATAAGCCTAGTTTTTACGCCCTTTTTTAGGCTGAAAAAGTAGGGCTGGGCGGTTTCGTTTCGTTAATTCGTAATTCGTTAATAATTCGTTAATTTTTTAAATTACAAAACGATAACGAACCATTCTGGAGCAATTTTTAAAAAAAACGAATTTTTAAATAGTTTTGTAAATGCTTCGTATTTCGTTATTGTATTCGTTTCGTTATTGTTTTGAGGTCGTTTCGTTATTATTTCCGCATGTCTGGGGCAAGTTTTATGGTTGTTTTTTGTTTAATTAGTGAAAAAAAATTATAATATCACACCAACAGTCAACAACAGAGGGAGAGGGAAGCTTCAGAAGTTTTTGGAGGTTTTTTAGCGTATTTCGCGGTCGCGTCCGCCATTAACGAATCGATTCGTTATTGTTTCGGAAATCGATTCGTTAACGTTTTGTAATTTTTTTCACATTTACGAAATTTCGTAAATATCGAACTTTTTAAAAGGAAAATTTTGTAATTATTTTAAATAACGAAATGCAAAAACCCCCAAAAAACGAATCGATTTTAGAAACAAATTTTTCCGTTGTTACCCAGGCCTATGAAAAAGCTCCCCTCAGCTTATACTCGAGTCAAGGTTATTTATTCTTTTACTGTGTTATTAGTATTATTTTATTACATGTGTTATTTTACTCTATTATTATATTTACATTATTTTGCTCTATTATTATTATTATTACTACATTGACAGTATTTTACCCTATTATTATTATTACATTATTTTAATCTATTATTATTATTATTATTATTACTACATTGACAGTATTTTACCCTATTATTATTATTATTATTATTATTACTACATTGACAGTATTTTACCCTATTATTATTATTATTATTATTATTACTACATTGACAGTATTTTACCCTATTATTGTTATTATTATTACATTATTTTAATCTATTATTATTATTATTATTATTATTGCATTGACAGTATTTTACCCTATTATTATTATTACATTATTTTAATCTATTATTATTATTATTATTATTACTACATTGACAGTATTTTACCCTATTATTATTATTATTACATTATTTTAATCTATTATTATTATTGTTTTTATTATTATTATTATTATTATTACTATTATTATTACATTTACAGTATTTTACCCTATTATTATTATTACATTATTTTAATCTATTATTATTATTATTATTATTATCATTTACAGTATTTTACCCTATTATTATTATTATTACATTATTTTAATCTATTATTATTATTATTACATTTACAGTATGTTACCCTATTATTACTACATTTATTATTTTACTCTATAATTACTGTTTTATTGCATTTTCGTTATTTTAATCTATTGTTTTTATTATTTTTATTTTTTTAAGAATAAGTACATTTACATTGAAGTAGGTTAGCATAATGGTTTAATAAGAGTTGGACAGTCTTATCTTAAATTACAGTTTTATGCAAATATTCAGAAACATTTAGCCTATTGATGCCTCAATTAATGTAATTTTATTGGTATCTATTTTTATTTTGAAATTGACCCATAGTGGATGCATTTCCCACCCTCGGCTTATACTCGAGTCAATACGTTTTCCCAGTTTTTTGTGATAAAATTAGGTGCCTCGGCTTATATTCGGGTTGGCTTATACTCGAGTATATACGGTAAATCAAATTAAAACAAAACATCCACAAGCAATAAAACAATCATTAAAACAATAAAACAGTCCCGTCCGTCAAATCGCCATTCCAGTCATTGTCTTTCTGAAATGCTTCATACATTTACTTCTACTGCCCGAAGGCCTGGTCCCAAAACCATGATTTTTTTCCCCTAAAAGCCAGGAGGGAGGGAACGGATCTTACCTCATTTGGGAGTGTGTTCCATAGGTGGGGGGCCACATCCGAGAAGGCCCTGTCTCTCGTCCCCGCCAGGTGCATTTGCGCTGTCGACAGGAGCGAGAGCAGGGCCTCCCCGGGTGATCTTAGATTACGAGGTGAGACGTAGGGGTGGGTGCGTTTGGACAAGGCAGCTGGGCTCGTGGTGGCCCCAGGTGCGGCGGGGCCATGGGCGCCAGTGGGGGGGCATGGGCGGCGTGGGGGGGGGTGTGGCCGGGGGGGGCCGGGCGGCCACTGGCCAGGCTGGGGCGGAGGGAGGGCGGATCTTACCTCATTTGGGAGTGTGTTCCATAGGTGGGGGGCCACATCCGAGAAGGCCCTGTCTCTCGTCCCCGCCAGGTGCATTTGCGCTGTCGACAGGAGCGAGAGCAGGGCCTCCCCGGGTGATCTTAGATTACGAGGTGAGACGTAGGGGTGGGTGCGTTTGGACAAGGCAGCTGGGCTCGAACCGTATAGAGCAGGGGTCGGGAACCTTTGGCCCTCCAGCTGTGGTGGACTTCAACTCCCACAATTCCTTGAGGCTCGGCATTTGCCCCAAAGGCTTACCTTGGCCCAACGAGGTTTGTTTCGCTCTTTTTCATGGAGGACGGGCAGCAAAGGGAGAGAGACGAGCGTAACGTAGCTGTGCAGATGGCGAGGAAGGATGCGGAGCCCACAGACTGGCCTCGGAGGGAGAGAGCGGGCGGAAACCCCTGCGGGCAACGCGCTTCCTCGCCGCTTCGGCCCTTAGCACCCGCCCCGCATGGACCCCCTCCCTAGCAACGACGCCGGCTGAGTGACGTCGTGCAGAGCTTGTCGGGGAAAAGGGAAGGCGAAGGCTGGAGGGAAAGGGCTCTGCGCTGTTTAAGCGGCGAGGAGGCGCGTTGCCCGCAGGGGTTTCCGCCCGCTCTCTCCCTCCGAGGCCAGTCTGTAGGCTCCGCATCCTTCCTCGCCATCTGCACAGCTACGTTACGCTCGTCTCTCCCCCTTTGCTGCCCGTCCTCCATGAAAAAGAGCGAAACAAACCTCGTTGGGCCAAGGTAAGCCTTTGGGGCGAATGCCGAGCCGCAAGGAATTGGGGGAGTTGAAGTCCACCACAGCTGGAGGGCCAAAGGTTCCCTACCCCTGGTATAGAGCTTTATAGATCAAAACCAGCACTTTGAATTGGGCTCGGAGATGGACCGGCAGCTCTCTGTATGTCACCCCAGTTAGTAATCTGGCTGCTGCCCGTTGGATTGCTGAAGTTTCGGAACAGTCTTCATAGGCCGCCCCACGTAGAGCACGTTGCAGTAATCTATTCGGGATCTTGAATCTGTGCTGCGGATGTGCAAGTTTATACATGTACTTCAGCCTCTTGTGCGTATAAATCAGGCGTGGGCAAGCTTGGGCTCTCTGGGTGTGTAGGAATGCTCATCCAGCGCTTGCCAGGCTACAACGCAGGTCATCCCATTTCTTTTTCCATACATCACTATTTTGGTGGAGGGCTGTGAAGTCAAGAGTCTTACATTTTTTCTACCACTTTCCTTATTATAGCGGATAATAACATTCATGACTTTCGGTTTATATGTAATTGTTATATTGTTGTTTTATTGTGGCCTTGGCCTTTATAAGCCGCATCGAGTCCTTCGGGAGATGCTAGTGGGGTACAAATAAAGCTAATAATAATAATAATAATAATAACAATAATTTAGAGCAGTTTTAATAAAAACGAATTTAAAAGAAAAGGTTGGAAATGGTTTTCCAGTGATGTGAATGGTCCGCTTTCTCCCTCCCAGGCCCCTTGCCTACAGCACGTTGGCGGATCTGGTCCATCACGTCCGGCAGCACTTGCCGCTCAACGACCTCTCCCTGGCCGTCCAGTTATTTGCCAAGAACATCGACGACGAGTCGTTGCCCAGCAGCATCCAGACCATGTCGTGCAAGCTTCTCTTGAACCTGGTGGATTGCATCCGCTCCAAGAGCGAGCAGGAGAATGGAAACGGACGGGACATCCTCATGCGCATGCTGGAGGTACAGGGTGGTTGCTCTCGTTGTTGTTTTTAGTATATTTATTTATTTATACCTCGCTTTGTATCTCCTGAAGGGAACTCAGAGTGGCTATGTATCTATTATTATTATTATTATTATTATTATTATTATTATTATTATAAATATTATCACAGATATTCTCACGCCCTTGTTACATCCCGAATAGACTACTGCAACACGCTCTACGTGGGATTGCCTTTGAAGACTGTTCAGAAACTTCAATTAGTCCAGCAGGAGGCAACCAGATTGCTTACTGGAGTATCATACAGGGAGCACACCCCCCCCCCCCCCCCCCGTTGTGTCAGCTCCACTGGCTGCCAATCCAGTTGCGAGCACAATTCAAAGTGCTGGTTTTGACCTACAAAACCCTATACGGTTCCGGCCCAGCGTACCTGTCCAAACGCATCTCCCTCTACGTCCTGCCTCAGAGTTTGAGATCTTCTGGGGAGGCCCTGCTCTCGGCCCCACCTCTGTCACAAGTGAGATTGGTGGGGACAAGGAGCAGGGCCTTCTCAGTGGTGGCCCCTCACCTGTGGAATTCACTTCCCGGGGAAATTAGATCAGCGACATCCCTCCTTTCCTTTAGAAGGAAATTAAAAACACATGTGGGACCAGGCATTTGGGCAATCTGGCAGATAAACAAAGGACTGCGGTGATGGATAGAAATAGACAATGTGGAACGAAGTATGGACTCTGAGTTGGCGAACGCTGTGCTTGAGATTGGCTATTGACTGTGATATATATTGTTGTTTTAATTGTTTAACGGTTTAACTGCTATTTTTATATGTTTATTGTATTATTGTGTAGGCATCGAATTGTGCCTTTTGTAAGCCGCCCTGAGTCCCCCCTCGGGGGTTGAGAAGGGCGGGGTAGAAGTGCAAGAAATAAAATAAATATAAAATAAAATACCAGTTCCCTTGAGAAAAGGCCTTGGGAAGATGAGGCAGTTTCGAGGGAATGTAGATTAGACTCGAGGATGAAGGGTGTGAAAAACCGGCAAACTAGATTTTCTCAGAGAGTTCAAGACAAGACCCAGAGATCCGGATGTGTGAGGCATGATGTCATGGGTGTCTTAGAAAGCTAAAATTAAGTGGTTTTGGATTCAGTTCATCTGGAGAGTCCCTGCTCTCGCTCGCGCCTCCCTCGCAGGCGCGATTGGTGGGAACAAGGGAGAGGGCCTTCTCGGTGGTGGCCCCCCAACTCTGGAACTCACTTCCCAGGGATATTAGGCATGCCCCAACATTGGCAGTTTTTAGGAGGAGCCTGAAAACGTGGCTGTTCCAGTGTGCCTTCCCGGAATAAGGAAATATTTCCCAGCAAAATGTCCTCAAATGCACTTTAACTATCCGTCGGCTTGCGCTCCCTCACTTCTTTAAAACTCTCTTATTAGATACTAGCGTTCCCCTGCCACGCGTTGCTGTGGCCCAGTCCGGTAGTCTGGAAAATAAAGTAATTAGAAACAGCTGGTTTCCAATATATGTAATGTCGTTATGCTTGTGAGTAAACAGTACTTCTTTGTTGTTTCTTTGACAGTGTTGACGTAGAGATTGTCTGGTTTGCCCACTCTGGAACATGCAATATATAATTGTCCTTCTTGGGGTCCCTTTCAAATCTATGATACTATGTGTGTGTATCATATCTATCTATATCTATGGCTTGATGGCTCTCTGTTAGGAGGGCTTTGATTATGTTTTCTTGCCCTGGTGAAGGGAGTTGGACTGGATGGCCTTAAGTATTTTCTGTTGGTCATAAGGGTCCTGTGTGGGAAGTTTGCCCCAATTCTGTCATTCGTGGGGTTCATTCAGAATGGTCTTTGATTGTAGGTGAACTATAAATCCCAGTAACTACAACTCTCAAATGCCAAGGTCTGTTTCCCCCAAACTCCATCTGTGTTCATATTTGGGCATATGGAATATTCATGCCAATTTTGGTCTAGATCCAACATTGTTTGAGTCCACTGTGCTCTCTGGATGTAGGTGAACTACAACTCCCAAACTCAAGATCAATGCCCTCCAAACCCTTCCAGTATTTTCTGTTGGTCATGGGAGTCCTGTGTGCCAAGTTTGGTTCAATTCCATCGTTGATGGAGTTCAGAATGCTTATTGATTGTAGGTGAACTATAAATCCCAGCAACTACAACTCCCAAATGACAAAATCATAATGTTTTGAGTGATGGTCACTCCTTGTGTTGTGAGACGTTTTGTTGCCAAATTTGGTGTGATTTCGTTCATTGGTTCTTTTGTTTTTAAGGTACTCATGACGCACAGAGCATTTTTATATATAGAGATATAAATCCCAGCAACTACAACTCCCAAATGACAAAATCATATTTTTTTATTATTATTATTATTATTATTTTCAAAAACCCACGAAACAGCGAATCCGCGTAAAGTAGCGAGGGAACACTAATAGGTGTGACCACCCTCCCCTCCACGTTCTTGTGCCCCACGCAGGTCTTTGTCCTGAAGTTCCACACGATTGCCCGCTACCAGCTCTCCCTGATCTTCAAGAAGTGCAAGCCGCAGTCGGAGCTGGGGGCGGCGGAGGCGGCGGCCTTGCCGGGGGTCCCGCCAGGGGGGAGCACCGCCCCCGCCCCGGCCCCCTCCCCGGCCCCTCCCTCCGCGGCCCCCCCTGCGGCCCCAGGCCCCTCCTTCGAGAAGCAAGGCGAGAAGGAGAAGGAGGACAAGCAGACCTTCCAAGTCACCGACTGCCGGAGCCTGGTCAAGACCCTCGTCTGCGGCGTCAAGACCATCACCTGGGGCATCACCTCCTGCAAAGCGCCCGGCGGTAAGGTCACGTCCAAGCGCATTGACGCTCGCTTCTTCCCACAGGTTTGCAGGTGTCGCCTTCCATAAGCGTATGTGTGTCCATGTGGTGGGAACTTTGGGACAGGCATGACCTTTTAGAGATCGCAACCAGAACCTCCATAACCTTTTAGAGCAGTGGTTCTCAACCTGTGGGTCTCTCCCCAGGTGTTTTGCCTTACAACTCCCAGAAATCCCAGCCAGTTTACCAGATGTTATGATTTCTGGGAGTTGAAGGGCAAAACATCTGGGGGCCCACAGGTTGAGAACCACTGTTTCAGAGAAACATGGCATTCACAACCATTTGAAAATCAAAGTATGATCTTCCTGAGAAGAGCCAAAAAACTCGTTTGAGCAAAATCTTCCCTTCAGTGGTGTACAACCACATGTACTCGTGCAAGGCAATTGGGCTTTCAGTTGTTTGATAGATAACATGGTTGTCCCTGATCTGTTAGGAATAGAGACGATGTCAGGGCACAAAAACAGCTTCAGAAGTGATCTTTTCAGTGCCCAAAAACCCCTATTCTCCCATAAAATATATTTTTTCTATATCATGCTCGCAAGAGGCAAAAGTAAAGTAGATTTGGTTAAAAGTAACATATCTGGTTTACTCAACAACCTTCATGTACTCAGCATACAGGGACATCACTTGTCAATCCAGTTCCAGATAGGATTTGAAGTAGTTTCTCTGTGCAAATAACACAGGGGATATTTCTCATAGTCTTAACAGTCCAAAGTCTGATGACGTGTCTGTGTTCTAAAATGGAGTCTGAGCTCTGAGCAGTCCCAGATCTGATCATGTGGCCTGCAGCCCCTCCCACAACCTCAAGAAACATAGAGTAAAGGGAAAGCTGCATACCAAAAACATATATACAGTACAGCAAGAGGACAGAATCATATGGTGCTGGGCCTCTGGGAGACCTCTTGGGGGAACGGAGGGAGGGAGGGAGGGAGGAGGCCCGGCCTTCTGGTGCCGCACGCCTCTCTTCCCCAGCCCCGGCGGCTTCCTGGGCAGGCGCGGCTCCCCCCCCCCCCCCGCTATGTGGTGAGGCCCAAATCTCTGGCGATGGAGGAGCTCTTACATGCATGTGCGTACCCCCCACAGCTGCACACATGCGCTGTGATGGCTTCTCCTTTTATTAAGGATTGCTAAGTTGTTTTTGGAGTTTTCCTAATTTTTATTATTGTTGGTCACACCTTGTATGGTGAGGAGCTTTGTTGCCAAATTTGGTGGCTATTGGCCCAGTGGTTCTTTTGTTTTTAAATGATTCACGATGACGACAACCTTTATATATATATAGACTATCTCCCCGAAGGGCAGCTTACATGGGGACCAAGCCCAGTCTAAACAAGTTGCTAAGTTGTTTTCGGTGTTTTCCTAATTTTTATTATTGTTGGTCACACCTTGTATGGTGGGGAGTTTTGTTGCCAAATTTGGTGGCTATTGGCCCAGCGGTTCTTTTGCTTCCCCCCGCTTCCCCATAGCTCATGGGGCAGCCACAGTGCTGTGATCCTTCCTTCCCTTATCTTCTGTTTTTCCTCCCTCCCCTCCTCTTTCTTGCCCTCCTTCCTTCCTTCCCCTTATCCTCTGTCTTTCCTTCCTTCCTTCCTTTACTTTCTCTTCTGTTCTGTTCTTTCCTTCTTTCCTCCCTTTCTTCCCTTTCCTTCCCTTCCTTCCCCTTCTGCTTGGTCCCCATGTAAGCTGCCCTTCGGGGAGATAGTCTATATATATAATGTATTAAGTTTAAAAATGTTTTGTTGTATTTCAGTTTTGATGCCTTGAGTGTATATGTTACTGTTTTTTGTATAATGTTGTGAATTGTTTTTATCGTGCTTTGAATATTGTTGCTTTCATGTTGTACACTGCTGTGAGTCGCCCTCGGGCTGAGAACAGCGGTCTATAAATAAAGTAAATAAAATAAATACATAAATAAATAAATATGCAGATTGCAAAATGTAATTCTGCTTTGGATTTTTTTGTCATTTTTTTTTAGAAGCCCAGTTCATTCCCAATAAGCAGCTGCAACCTAAAGAGACCCAGATCTACATCAAGCTGGTCAAATATGCAATGCAGGCGCTGGATATTTATCAGGTATGTGTCTGGGTTGACAAATAGTCTTGCGTGTTCCAGTCATTTTGAAGTGTGTGATTCCCTCCTTTTCAATTCATATTTGCACAAGTTTTTAAAAGAAAGTATTGAGCGTTGCACCTCAGCACTCGCCAAGAAACCCAGTGTGGTAATAATAAACAGTTTATTGATAAAAGCACATATAAAAAGGGCCAAAGGCACCTTAGGCAAATAGAAGGGTAAAAATCCAAGTTAATAAAGGAAGTCAGTCCCAAAGGCAATAAGTAAACCCAGGAAACAGTGGTTAAAACATGAGCATTCATCCAGAAAACAAGGAGCAACACATGGGCGTGAATCCAAAGGTAAATCCATAAAACAAGAAGTCAAACTTGGTCATGAATCTCGGGTCTTGAACTAAGGCATGAACTAGGATCAAGGCAGGAGTTCAGTAGTGTGAGAGTGAAACTGTTTTGGAAGCCAACAGGCAGGGAGGGGAGGATAAACCCAGGAAACAGTGGTTAAAACATGAGTATTCAACCAGGAAACAAGGAGCAACACATGGGCGTGAATCCAAAGGTAAATCCATAAAACAAGAAGTCAAACTTGGTCATGAATCTCGGGTCTTGAACTAAGGCATGAACTAGGATCAAGGCAGGAGTTCAGTAGTGTGAGAGTGAAACTGTTTTGGAAGCCAACAGGCAGGGAGGGGAGGATAAACCCAGGAAACAGTGGTTAAAACATGAGTATTCAACCAGAAAACAAGGAGCAAAACATGGGCATAAATCCAAAGGTAAATCCACAAAACAAGGAGTCAAACTTGGTCATGAATCTCGGGTCTTGAACTAAGGCATGAACTAGGATCAAGGCAGGAGTTCAGTAGTGTGAGAATGAAACTGTTTTGGAAGCCAACAGGCAGGGAGGGGAGGATAAACCCAGGAAACAGTTGTTAAAACATGAGTATTCAACCAGGAAACAAGGAGCAACACATGGGCGTGAATCCAAAGGTAAATCCATAAAACAAGAAGTCAAACTTGGTCATGAATCTCGGGTCTTGAACTAAGGCATGAACTAGGATCAAGGCAGGAGTTCAGTAGTGTGAGAGTGAAACTGTTTTGGAAGCCAACAGGCAGGGAGGGGAGGATAAACCCAGGAAACAGTGGTTAAAACATGAGTATTCAACCAGAAAACAAGGAGCAAAACATGGGCATAAATCCAAAGGTAAATCCACAAAACAAGGAGTCAAACTTGGTCATGAATCTCGGGTCTTGAACTAAGGCATGAACTAGGATCAAGGCAGGAGTTCAGTAGTGTGAGAATGAAACTGTTTTGGAAGCCAACAGGCAGGGAGGGGAGGATAAACCCAGGAAACAGTTGTTAAAACATGAGTATTCAACCAGGAAACAAGGAGCAACACATGGGCGTGAATCCAAAGGTAAATCCATAAAACAAGAAGTCAAACTTGGTCATGAATCTCGGGTCTTGAACTAAGGCATGAACTAGGATCAAGGCAGGAGTTCAGTAGTGTGAGAGTGAAACTGTTTTGGAAGCCAACAGGCAGGGAGGGGAGGATAAACCCAGGAAACAGTGGTTAAAACATGAGTATTCAACCAGGAAACAAGGAGCAACACATGGGCGTGAATCCAAAGGTAAATCCATAAAACAAGAAGTCAAACTTGGTCATGAATCTCGGGTCTTGAACTAAGGCATGAACTAGGATCAAGGCAGGAGTTCAGTAGTGTGAGAGTGAAACTGTTTTGGAAGCCAACAGGCAGGGAGGGGAGGATAAACCCAGGAAACAGTGGTTAAAACATGAGTATTCAACCAGGAAACAAGGAGCAACACATGGGCGTGAATCCAAAGGTAAATCCATAAAACAAGAAGTCAAACTTGGTCATGAATCTCGGGTCTTGAACTAAGGCATGAACTAGGATCAAGGCAGGAGTTCAGTAGCGACGTTGCTTGCTATAAAACCCGCTCTCTCACTAATGTAAGGACTGCAAAACATGAACACATTCCTTTGACCTCGAGAGGTCTGCTTCTGCCTCCCTTTCTCACGGATTTTCCTGCATCTGAGTCTCTTCCCCCTCAGAAGCAGCCTGGGGTCTCTGCCTATGCCAGCTGCTTCCTCGGATAAGCTCATCTTATCCTCCCCTCCCTGCCTGTTGGCTTCCAAAACAATTTCACTCTCACTCTTTGTCTCAGCAACAGGATCTTGCTCCAAAACCGCCTCCGTTCCCTCAGCTACAAAACCATCAGGCCCTGAACTCCCAAACCCTTCATCTGGCTGAACCACAACATTGAGAGAGAGAGAGAGAGAGAGAGAGAGAGAGATCTTTTTGTTTAAACAGGCATTTTAAGTGGATAAATAAATTAAAAAATTATAATAAATACAACAATAACAATAATAATAATAGTATGTTTTAGATGGTTATGCTGATGTTTTCATATTAAGCTGCTTTGAGTCTCTTGGGATAATAATAATAATAATCACAATCACTTGTGTTTTTACTTGATAGGTAAATTAATTGGGTTTAAAGTCTATGAAACAATATACAGGCAGCCCTCCGCATTTGTAGGTTTAGTTTTTTGCAGATCTGATTATTTGCGGATTTGATTGACATGTTCTTTCTGGGCATCTCTGCGCCCTCCAGGGTCAGACTTGAGGGCCAACTTCCATCAGAAGTTTGATATATTTGCATATTTTCCACTTTCATGGGGGGAGGAGGTCCCATGCCCTGAATCTCTGCTTATTATATAACTACTCAAGTATAAGCCAACCCGAGTATAAGCTGAGGCACCTAATATTACCACAAAAAAAATGGGAAAATGGATTGACTCGAGTATAAGTCGAGGGTGGGAAAGGCAGCAGTGACTGGGAAATTCCAAAATAAAAATTGCATTAATCGAGGCATCGGTAGGTTCAATGTTTTTGAATAAAACTGTAAGTTAAGATAAGACTGGCCAACTCTGATTAAAGCGTTATTCTAACCAGTGTAAATGTGTTTACATATCCTTCCAATAACAATAGAGTAAAATAATAAATATAATAATGATAATAATGATAATAATAATAGAGTAAAATAATGGAAATGTAATAATAAACATAATAATAGAGTAAAATAATGGAAATATAGTAATAACAGTAATTCTAGAGTAAAATAATAAATGTAATAATAACCATAATAAAATAATAAATGTAATAATAATAGAGTAAAATGATTAATGTAATAATAATAATAATAATAATAAAAATAATAATATAGTAAATAATGGAAATTTAATAATAATAATGATAGAGTAAAATAATAAATGTAATAATAATAAAAAATAAAATAATAAATGTAATAATAATAGAGTAAAATGATTAATGTAATAATAATAATAATAATAATAACAGAGCAAAATAATAAATATAGTAATAGAGTAAAATAATGGAAATGTAATAATAACAGTAATTCTAAAGAAAAACTATAAATGTAATAATAACCATAATAAAGAATAAAATAATAAATGTAATAATAATAGAGTAAAATGATTAATGTAATAATAATAATAATAATAATAACAGAGCAAAATAATAAATATAGTAATAGAGTAAAATAATGGAAATGTAATAATAACAGTAATTCTAAAGAAAAACTATAAATGTAATAATAACCATAATAAAGAATAAAATAATAAATGTAATAATAATAGAGTAAAATGATTAATGTAATAATAATAAGTAAAATAATAATAATAACAGAGCAAAATAATAAATATAGTAATAGAGTAAAATAATGGAAATGTAATAATAACAGTAATTCTAAAGAAAAACTATAAATGTAATAATAACCATAATAAAGAATAAAATAATAAATGTAATAATAATAGAGTAAAATGATTAATGTAATAATAATAAATAATAATAATAAATGTAATAAAAATAAGAATAGAGTAAAATAATGGAAATGTAATAATAACAGTAATTAAAGAAAAACTATAAATGTAATAATAACATAATAAAGAATAAAATAATAAATGTAATAATAATAGAGTAAAATGATTAATGTAATAATAATAGAGTAAAATAATAATAATAACAGAGCAAAATAATAAATATAGTAATAGAGTAAAATAATGGAAATGTAATAATAACAGTAATTCTAAAGAAAAACTATAAATGTAATAATAACCATAATAAAGAATAAAATAATAAATGTAATAATAATAGAGTAAAATGATTAATGTAATAATAATAATAATAATAATAATAATAATAACAGAGCAAAATAATAAATATAGTAATAGAGTAAAATAATGGAAATGTAATAATAACAGTAATTCTAAAGAAAAACTATAAATGTAATAATAACCATAATAAAGAATAAAATAATAAATGTAATAATAATAGAGTAAAATGATTAATGTAATAATAATAATAATAATAATAATAATAACAGAGCAAAATAATAAATATAGTAATAGAGTAAAATAATGGAAATGTAATAATAACAGTAATTCTAAAGAAAAACTATAAATGTAATAATAACCATAATAAAGAATAAAATAATAAATGTAATAATAATAGAGTAAAATGATTAATGTAATAATAATAGAGTAAAATAATTAATGTAATAATAATAATAATAGTGATAAAGTAAAATAATAAAAAACCTTGACTCGAGTATAAGCCGAGGGAGACTTTTTCAACCCAAAAAAGGACTGAAAAACTAGGCTTATATTCGAGTATATACAGTAAATGGTTGGTTTAAGATGGTTGTAAGCCTGCCTTCAACTCTCCTTTAGGGAGACACCTGGGGCATCCATGAAATAGTCATGAAGCTCCAGTGATGGGCAACCTTTTGAGCTTGGTGTGTCAAAATTTGCCAAAAACCTGAGCATAACTTGGGTGGGGTGTCAACTTCGAGAGAGAAAAAAACATAATTTGGCAATATTTATAGTTTAAATAAGAAAAATGTATATTCCGTGCTGAGTTATGGAGTGAACAATGCTCAAACATGCAGATGTTCAATTTGTAGAGCCTTTTGCAAATTTAAGGATGGAATTAGATTGGCTCTTATAAGGTGGACTTCTCTGTGTCTGCGTGTCATCAAAAATAGCCATTTGTGTCAATGCTGACATGCGTGTCATAGGTTCACCATCACGGCTCTAGAGAGTGTAATGACCTGGGGAGACAATGACCGATTCCTGTTCTATTCCTCCGTGAAAAAGGTTCAAATAGCGGGGAACGGGCAGACGTACATCCGGGTGGCCAATTGCCAGACGGTCCGGATGAAAGAGGAGAAGGAGGTGCTGGAGCACTTTGCGGGCGTCTTCACCATGATGAACCCCTTGACTTTCAAGGAAATCTTCCAGACGACGGTCCCGTACATGGTGGAACGCATCTCCAAGAACTACGCCCTCCAGGTAGTATGTTTGGGGCACTTGACAGCAATGCTGAACGCTGCAGAACTTGGCCGGGCAGGCTTGATAACAGGTCAAATCCCAATCTTGGCTCCAAGGACAACACACCCATTATCTCAGTGCAGTGGGTCCCTCCCCAGGTGTTTTGGCCTACCACTCCCAGAAATCCCAGCCGGCTGTTAGGATTTCTGGGAGTGGAAGGCCAAAACATCTGGGGAGAGACCCACAGGTTGAGAACCACTGGTTTGGTGGGAATTGTCCTGTGTTCATTAGTAATTAGGGAACAACAGCTGTAGTCCGTTGTGGGATTTCGTTGGAATTCATTCTTAGCACCATTGCACTTTCACTGGCCCATCCAGTTTGCGTTTGGATATTATGCCGTACAGTGACGCCTTGACTTAAAGAGTTTTTGTGATACGAGCCGTCGCTCAGTCGAGCTTTGACATGTGAACAGAGATTTGAGTTATGAGCGTGAGAGAGAGCTATTTCACAAGAGAGCTATGTGAAAGAGTGCTGTTTCAAGAGAGTGTTGTGAGAGATACAGCTATTGCAAGAGAGAGAGCTATTGCGCGAGAGAGCTATCGTGAAAGAGAGCTATTGTGAGAGAGTGCTGTTGTGAGAAATACAACTATTGCAAGAGAGAGAGCTATTGTGAGATAGTGCTGTTGTGAGAGATACAGCTATTGAAAGAGAGAGCTATTGCGCAAGAGAGCTATCGTGAAAGAGAGCTATTGTGAGAGTGCTGTTGCGAGAGATACAGCTATTGCAAGAGAGAGAACTATTGCACTAGAGAGCTATCTTGAAAGAGTGCTGTTGCAAAAGATACAGCTATTGCAAGAGAGAGCTATTGTGCTACAGAGCTATCGTAAAAGAGTTATTGTGAGAGAGTGCTGTTGCAAGAGATACAGCTCTTGCAAGAGAGAGAGAGAGCTATTGCACGAGAGAGCTATCGTGAAAGAGCTATTGTGAGAGAGTGCTATTGAGAGAGATACAGCTATTGCAAGAGAGCTATTGTGCGAGAGCTATTGTGAGAGAGTGCTGTTGCGAGAGATACAGCTATTGCAAAGAGAGCACAGAGCTATCGTGAAAGAGCTATTGTGAGGCTGTTGTTGTGAGAGATACAGCTATTACAAGAGAGAGAGCTATTGCCCTACAGAGCTATCGTGAAAGAGCTATTGTGAGAGAGTGCTGTTGCAAGAGATACAGCTATTGCAAGAGAGCTATTGTGTGAGAGAGCTATTGTGAGAGAGTGTTGTTGCGAGAGATACAGCTATTTCACAGGAGAGAAATATTGCACCACAGAGCTATCGTGAAAGAGTGCTGTTGCGAGAGATACATCTATTGCAAGAGAGAGCTATTGCAGAAGAGAGAGCTATCATGAAAGAGCTATTGTGAAAGAGCTCTGTTGCGAGAGATACAGCTATTTCAAGAGAGAACTATTGCACAAGAGAGCTATCGTGAAATAGAGCTATTGTGAAAGAGTCCTGTTGCGAGCGATACAACTATTGCAAGAAAGAGAGTTATTGCACGAGAGAGTTATAGTGAAAGAGCTATTGTGAGAGAGTGCTGTTGCGAGAGATCAAAGTGGTACACAACAACATCAACAACAAAGATCAGTATGGTTTTTTTGTAGGGAAATTTGATTTGACCTAAGGGCAATCTGAGTTTAAGAGCATGGTCCCAGGAACGAGTTAAACTCGCAAGTCAAGGTATCGCTGTACTTTGAATTGTACAAGAGAAGAAATGTGAATTCAAATTAAAATGTAAACCGACATTTAAAATATACTTCTTCCTTTCATGGATTTGCTCTAAAGCAGGAATGGGTAAACTTTGCGCCTCCAGGTGTTTCAGACTCCAACTCCCACAGAATTGTGGGAGTTGGAGTCCAAAACACCTTGGGGGGATAAAGTTTGCCCATGCCTGAGTTAGACCTTCAAATCTAACTCGGAAGGAATGAATCATTCCCAATGGGTCTGCGACTATTATGCGAGGAACACAAAAATACCAATCTTGCCACCCAAGAAATGGGGTGGGACTATTATGCAATGAAATACAGTTGGCCAACCCAAAAAATGGGAGCGCGACTATTATGTGATGATATGCAGTTCACCACCAGCCCCCCAAAATGGAGGTATGACTATTATGCAATGAAATACAGTTAACCACCCTAAAAAATGGGGGCACGACTATTATGTGATGATATGCAGTTCACCACCAGCCCCCAAAATGGAGATGGCTATTACGCAGTGAAATACAGTTAACCACCCCAAAAATGAGGACATGACTATTGTGTGATGAAATGCAGTTAATCATCTCAAAAAATGGGCCCCCGACTATTATGTGACGAAAGGCAGTAAACCACCAGCCCCAAAATTGGGATGTGACTATTATGCAATGAAATACAGTTAACCACCCCAAAAATGAGGACATGACTATTGTGTGATGAAATGCAGTTAACCATCTCAAAAAATGGGGCCCCGACTATTACGTGATGAAAGGCAGTAAACAACCAGCCCCAAAATGGGGATGTGAATATTATGCAATGAAATACATTTAACCACCCTAACAATGGGGGCACGACTATTATGTGATGATATGCAGTTCACCACCAGCCCCCCAAAATGGAGGTGTGACTATTATGCAATGAAATATAGTTAACCACCCCAAAAATGAGGATATGACTATTGTGTGATGAAATGCAGTTAACCATCTCAAAAAATGGGGCCCCTATGTGATGATATGCAGTTCATCAGCAGCCCCCAAAATGGAGGTGCGACTATTACGCAGTGAAATGCAGTTAACCATCCCCAAAAATGGGGGCACGACTATTATGCTATGAAATACAGTTAACCTGTCCATTAACATGTAACAGTGACTGGCTGTTAGGAATTGTGGGTGTTGAAGTCCAAAACACTTGGAAGGAAGGCCAGAGTTGGTCCTGTCCTGATACAGAACCACAAAGTTGGACAAAGACACAAGGTCCATCCAATCCACAACCTAAGCTCTCCCAACAGATGACCATCACAGCACTCTTGGGGACTGCTCCTATGGGTTGAATGCCCTTCTTTCCTTTGTCCCTTCCAGATTGTCGCCAATTCCTTCCTGGCCAACCCAACTACCTCGGCTCTGTTTGCGACCATCCTGGTGGAATACCTTCTGGACCGGTTGCCCGAAATGGGCTCCAACGTGGAGCTGTCCAACCTGTATCTCAAGCTCTTCAAGCTGGTCTTTGGCTCCGTCTCGCTCTTTGCGGCTGAGAACGAGCAGATGCTGAAGGTAAGCCAAGCTCGTTTCTAAGCCAAGGGCAGGTTTGCTCTTCAGTTGAATTGGTGTGGAAGGTGGAACAGGGGCGTTTCGGAAGTATATCCCAGCCACACACAAACACGCACAATATAGTATGCATGCTCACAGATGCACACACATGTATGCATAAAGGCCAGTCCCTAAGTTACGAACAAGAGAGATTCGGTAGGTGTGTTCTTAAGTTGAATTTGTAAGTAAGTTGGAACAAGAGGATGTTGGGATTCAGCCTGGGTTTGAACCTGTGATTGTGTTTCAGTCTCCTGATGTTTTTGTGTCTGATGTGGGGAATGAGGAGGATAATCAGTCCCTTGTTGCTTCTGATGTGGGGGATGCTGGGACTGACTCTGAGGTGCAAGATGGAGACACTTTGGTCAACGAGTTTCAGACACTGACAGAGAGGCTTCAGTGCAAAGGGCAGATTCTCATGAGATTGTTCCTATCAGTGAGTTCTCCAGATTCTCTTTTGGAAAACAGTCTGGCACCTGGGAAAGTTAATAAGGAGTCAGATAAGCAGAGTCAGCGGCTAGAGATTAGCCAGAATCGACAAGAGGCCCAATGTTTACGTAGTTCCGAACAAATTCATCAATTAAAGTCAAAGACTGGGGGGAAACGAAACCGGTTTTGGGGATTTAGATTTTGCCTTTAGAGAATCTTGTCATATCAGGCTTAACGCTAAGGGGAAACCTTCACCTCTACCTATACACTGCAGCAGACTGACACTACCAAATGCATACTATCCTGGCTGACTTCTAACTTGTACTGACCTGTAAAATGGAGTCTGAGTGCGGATAGTCCCAGATCAGAGTCCCTGCGTCGGACACACGACTAGGTGTTGGGACTCAGCCTGTGATTGAACCTGAGCCTGGGTTTGAACCTGTGAATGTATTTCAGTTTCCTGATGTTTCTGTGTCTGATGTGGTTAATGAGGAGGGAAGTCAGTCCCCTGTTACTTCTGATGTGGGGGATGCTGGGACTGACTCTGAGGTGCAAGATCGAGACACTTGGTCAATGAGTTTAATGCAGACACTGACAGAGAGGCTTCGGTGCAAAGGGCAGATTCTCATGAGAATGTTCCTATCAGTGAGCTCTCCAGATTCTATTTGGAAAACAGTCTGGCACCTGGGAAAGTTAATGAGGAGTCAGAAAAGCAGAGTCAGCGGCTGGAAATTTATTTATTTATTTATTTATTTATTTATTTACTTCATTTGTATACCGCATTTATCAGCCTAGGACGGCAACTCAATGCGGTTTACAGTAAAATGTGCAACACTGACAATATATAAAACAGACATACACAGACAACACACATATAGTCATCAACGCCTCAAATAGAATCAGATCCCGTTCTCACAGTCGTTTTACCGTTCCTTGTTCAGTATGCCGTCTTCCTGAGTTAGTTGTAATTGCATAATTATCTGAATGCCTGTTCATAGAGCCACGTCTTAACCCTCCTCCGAAACGCCAGTAACGAAGGGGCCTGCCTGATGTCCGCTGGTAGGGCATTCCATAGCCGAGGGGCCACCACCGAGAAGGCCCTGTCTCTCGTCCCCGCCAGCCGCACTTGTGATGCTGACGGGACCGAGAGCAGGGCCTCCCCGGACGATCTTAACGTCCTCACCGGTTCATAGGTGGAGATGCGTTCGGAGAGGTAAGTGGGGCCGGAACCGTGTAGGGCTTTATAGGCTAAAGCCAGCACCTTGAATTGTGCCCGGTAGCAAATTGGCAGCCAGTGGAGCTGGCTCAACAGAGGAGTGGTGTGCTCCCTGAGTGCCGCTCCCGTTAGCAACCTGGCTGCCGAACGCTGGACCATCTGAAGCTTCCGGGCAGTCTTCAAGGGCAACCCCACGTAGAGCGCGTTGCAGTAATCTATGCGGGATGTGACGAGAGCGTGGACTACCATGGCCAAGTCCGACTTCCCAAGATACGGGCGCAGCTGGCGCACGAGCCGAAGCTGTGCAAATGCTCCTCTGGAAACCGCTGAAACTTGGGGTTCCAAGCTTAGCGAAGAATCCAGAGTCACACCCAAGCTGCGAACCTGCGCTTCAGGGGGAGTGCGACCCCGTCCAGCACAGGCTGTAACCCTATACCCTGTTCGGCCTTCGACTGACCAGGAGTACCTCTGTCTTGTCTGGATTCAGTTTCAATTTGTTCGCCCTCATCCAGTCCGATACAGCGGCCAAGCACCGGTTCAGGACCTGAACAGCCTCCTTAGTAGTAGGTGGGAAGGAGTGACAGAGTTGGACGTCATCTGCGTACAGATAACACCGCACCCCGAAACTCCGGATGATCTCTCCCAACGGCTTCATGTAGATGTTGAACAACATGGGGGAAATTAGCCAGAATTGACAAGAGCCCCAACGTTTACGTAGATCCGAATGAATTCGTCAATTCAAGTCAAAGACTGGCGGAAAACAAAACCAGTTTTTGGGATTTAAGGTTTGCCTGTAGAGAATCTTGTCAGATCAGGCTTAACGTTAAGGGGAAACTTTCCCCTCTACCAGCAGACTGACACTACCAAATGCATACTATCCTGGCTGACTTCTAAATTGTACTGACTTGTAAAATGGAGTCTGAGTGCAGATAGTCCCAGATCAGAGTCCCCGAGTCGGACACACGACTAGGTGTTGGGACTCAGCTTGTGATTGAACCTGAGCCTAGAGTTGGAAGAGGCCTCATGGGCCATCCAGTCCAACCATTCTGCCAAGAAGCAGGAATATTGCATTCAAAGCACCCCTGACAGATGGCCATCCAGCCTCTGTTTAAAAGCTTCCAAAGAAGGAGCCTCCACCACACTCTGGGGCAGAGAATTCCACTGCTGAACGGCTCTCACAGTCAGGAAGTTCTTCCTCATGTTCAGATGGAATCTCCTCTCTTGTAGTTTGAAGCCATTGTCCTGCGTCCTAGTCTCCAAGGAAGCAGAAAACAAGCTTGCTCCCTCCTCCCTGTGACTTCCTCTCACATATTTATACATGGCTATCATATCTTCTTTCAGCCTTCTCTTCTTCAGGCTAAACATGCCCAGCTCCTTAAGCTGCTCCTCATAGGGCTTGTTCTCCAGACCCTTGATCATTTTAGTCGCCCTCCTCTAATGCTCCTTTATTGTAGGTGAACTATAAATCCCAGCAACTACAACTCCCAAGTGTCAAGGTCTATTTTCCTCAAATCTACCAGTGTTCACATTTGGGCATATTGAGTATTCGTGCAAAGTTTGGTCCAGATCCATCATTGTTTGAGTCCACAGTGATCTCTGGATGTAGGTGAACCACAACTCCAAAACCAAAGGACACTGCCCACCAAACCCTTCCAGTATTTTCTGTTGCTCATAGGAGTTCTGTGTCCCAAGTTTGGTTCAATTCCATCGTTGGTGGAGTTCAGAGTGCTCTTTGATTGTAGGTGAACTATAAATCCCAGCAACCACAACTCCCAAATGACAAAATCAATTATTTTGAGTGACTGACATACATTGGGTTGTTAGGTGTCTTGTGTCCAAATTTGGTGTCAATTCGTCCAGCGGTTTTTGAGTTCTGTGAATACCACAAACGAACGTTACATTTTTATTGATATAGATATATATCGAGAGAGGAGTGGTGGTGGGAGAGAGCGTGCTTAGGAGTCCTCCAGAAAGGCGTGTGCAAGGCAGGCATCCTTCTCGTGGTGCGTCAAGGTCACTTTCATTTTACACAAACGGCAAATCCAATTTAAATGGCGTGATAGACTACCGTCGGTCGGTGGCTCCGTGCCTGTTAAATTATTTGATTCTCAGGGACGGACGGCGTGGACTTCAGTCGACAATTTAATTTTGAGCGATGGGAGCTCTTTGCGGCATTTGCGGTGCAAGGTTGAGGGCCTTTGGGAGTGAGTGGAACCCCGAATTACGGCAGAATCTCTCCCTGGGATGAGTCCCCTCCCCGCTCTCTTTGGCATCACCCGCTCAAGGCTTTTGGATTTCCCCCTTGCTTTTAAGAGGACGCTTTAATCCAAACGTCAGCGTTCTAAGGACAGTGATGTATTTGAGGGCTGTGTTCTCTCCCTCTACTGAGACTCCATTGTCAGAAGGAAATACAAACGCTGGCCATAAATAGGCCTGCTTTAGGAAATGGAGCAATTTGGATTTGCAGTTGTTAGACTGATTATCTAGTTCGGTTGTTGTAGGTTTTTCCGGGGCTGTATGGCCATGTTCTGGAGGCCATTTTTCTCCTGACGTTTCGCCTGCATCTATGGTAAGCATCCTCAGAGGTAGTGAGGTCTGTTGGAACTGGGAAAAATGGGTTTATCTATCTGTGGAATAATGACCAGGGTGGGACAAAGGACCCTTGTCTGCTGGGGCTAGCTGCAAATGTTTCAACTGACCACCTTGCTTAGCATTTGATGGCTTTGAAGCGCCTGGGGGGAATCTTTTGTTGAGAGTGATTTTATGTGCCTGTTTGTTTCCTCTCTGTTGTTTTGCTGTTGCAATTTTAGAGTTTTTCAATACTGGTAGCCAGATTTTGTTCATTTTCATGGTCTCTTCCTTTCTGTTGAAATTGTCCACATGCTTCTTGTGGATTTCAATGGTGACATGGTGGCTGTTGGAGTGGTCCAGCATTTCTGTGTTCTCAAATAGTATTTCTGTGTCCAGGCTGGTTCCTCAGGTGCTCTGCTATGGCTGACTTCTCTGGTTGGAGTAGTCTGCAGTGCCTTTCATGTTCCTTGATGCGTGTCTGGGCAATGCTGCGTTTGGTGGTCCCTTTGTAGACTTGCCCACAGCTGCATGGTACACGGTAGACTCCCGCAGAAGTGAAAGGATCCCTCTTGTCCTTTGCTGAACGTAGCATTTGTTGGATTTCTCTGTGTGTCAGACTACACAGAGAAGCCACTGAAATCCACAAGCATGTGGACAATTTCAACAGAAAGGAAGAAACTATGAAGATGAACAAAATCTGGCTACCAGTATTAAAAAACTCCAAAATTACAACAGCAAAACAACAGAGGGG